CACACACACAGAAATATAGAGATGTAAAGTGGGAAATCAGGGCTCTCACAGCCTTCAGAGCTGAGAGCCCCAAACAGAGATTTACCCACATATTTATTAACAGCAAGCCAGTTATTAGCATTGTTTCTATAGATATTCGATTAACTAAAGGTATCCCTTATGGGAAACGAAGGGCTGAAATAAAGGAATAGTTTGGGCTAGTTAACTGCAGCAGAAGCATGTCCTTAAGGCACAGATCGTTCATGCTATTGTTTGTGGCTGAAGAATGCCTTTAAGTGGTTTTCCACCCTGGGCGGTGCAGGTGTTCCTTGCCCTCATTCCGGTAAACCCACAACCTTCCAGCGTGGGCATTATGGCGATCATAGACATGTCACAGTGCTGCAGAGATTTTATTTATAGCCAGTTTTGGGGCCAGTTTATGGCCACATTTTGGGGGGCCTGTTCCCCACACCCAGCCCTAAAAGAAAACTGTGGGTCATTGCATGTCAGAGTGATCATCTCAGTAAAGAAATAAGCCAATCAAGGACACGGAAGCAGGAATGAGAGATTCAAGAAACTTCTGCATGAGAGATGGGTATTTCTAGTTTAAGAAAAGCATGTGCCAGGTTACTACAAGAAACCCAAGGCAGTTCTCATCCCACACAGTCTCTTCTCATAAGGCTCCATGTGTCTTCTTTTCTGAACCTAACTCCCACCTCCTTAACTTCTGATTCCTTCCACTGTGCCCTCTAGAACTCATGGTCAGTCATCAGCAAAGTTCCCTTCTCTCAGTACAGATGCACTGTCCACGCTCCTATCTAGTTACAGCCTCTGAACCTTCACCCTAGATTTCACCTCTTCTTGACCACTCGTTAACATCACTCAAGCAATTTTCTCTATCTTGGGCCACAGATTTTCCCTCCCTCCTCTTATCATACAAACACATTATAATATTTTTCAAATCTTGATAAAAGAAAGCAAACCTCTCTTAAGACCACAGATTTTTGCCTTCGCCTTTTCTTTTTTTTTTTTTTTTTTTTTTTTTGAGACGGAGTCTCGTTCTGTCGCCCAGGCTGGAATGCAATGGCCGGATCTCAGCTCACTGCAAGCTCCGCCTCCCAGGTTCCCGCCATCCTCCTGCCTCAGCCTCCGGAGTAGCTGGAGCTACAGACGCCCGCCACCTCGCCCGGCTACTTTTTTTGTATTTTTTTAGTAGAGACGGGGTTTCACCGTGTTAGCCAGGATGGTCTCGATCTCCTGACCTCGTGATCCACCCGTCTCGGCCTCCCAAAGTGCTGGGATTGCAGGCTTGAGCCACCGCGCCCGGCCTGCCTTCGCCTTTTCAACAAAATTACTCTTGGTTATGTAGCCCATGGTTTCCATGTTGTTGTACCCACTGGTCAGCTTCCAATCTCTATCTTACTTGACCTATCACAGCATTTGACACAGTAAATGACTCTCTTCATTCAACATTCCCTTCCATTGCTTCCAGGATTCCAAGCTCTTCTGGTTTTCCTCCAGCATTGCTGGTAGATGCTCAGTCTCTTTTGCTGATTTATCTTCTCTTTCCAACTTCTAGATGTTGATGTACCCTAGGGCTCAGTTTAGACTCACTATTTTGGTGACCTCATCCAATCTCACAACTTTAATCCCTAACTATACGTTAATTGCTCCCAAAAGTATAGAACCAGCCTTGATCTACCTGTGGTCCTCACTGGCCTCTGCAGCAAAAATATGTGTCCCATTTCCCCTGTCACTGAGAATCCTGTGGGCAGCTGCTACTAAAGTGTTTTGCTGGAGAACATGTGGTCTTTTTCCTGTCAGTTCAATCAGGGCTTTGTGATTCTCTTGCTGCACGGGTTCACTTCGGCACCATGTGCCCTCCTGAAGTCTGACTGTGACACCCATTTAATCTCCATAGGTTACAACAATATTTAATAGAAGAAATAAACCTTGAGACAGAATAAGATCTTTCTGAGTCAAGTACTTCTTTTTTCTTATTTTTTGTTTGTTTGTTTGTTTTTGTTTTGTTTTGTTTTTTGAGACAGGGTCTCGCTCTGTCACCAAGGCTGGAGTGCAGTGGTGAGATCTCGACTCACTGCAACCTCTGCCTCCCAGGTTCAAGCAATTCTCCCACCTCAGCCTCCTGAGTAGCTGGGACTACAGGGGTGAGCCACCACGCCCAGCTAATTTTTGCATTTTTAATAGAGACAGGTTATCACCACGTTGGCCAGGCTGGTCTCAAACTCCTGACCTCAGGTGATCCACCTGCCTCTCAGCCTCCCAAAGTGTTGGGATTACAGGTGTGAGCCACCATGCCCAGGCTTGATTCAAGTACTTGAAAAATTCAAGAGACAGATCTCAGCTATTTATTATGTCCAAAGAAGATGAAGTTCAGGAGCGCTTACATTTGTCGGTTTTAATAACACAAAGAACTCTCAATGAAAACCTACTTTTTTCTTTAATTTTAGATGCATTTTTAATTGAATGTGTTTTAAAATATCGGTATGAACTCATGATGTGTTTTATCTTTTTTTTTTTTTTTTTAATGTTTCTAGCTCTGTCCACAAGGGCCTAGAAATGACCAACAGTGAGCACCCTTGGTGCCAGATCATAGACTCTAACTCTCACTTTCCACTACAACAAGGGGAGGGGCTCCTTGTAAAAAGTGGATGATTCCAAATCCAAGGCAGGAAATGTCATAGAAGACAGCAGAGAAGCTTTTAAAAACGACTAAAGTTGTATCAGAACAGCTCAGGATCCAACTTCAAGAGCTTATTTGCCAAAGACAGGATAATTTAAGCATCAATAAGAATAAAATTTCCAGCTGGGCATGGTGGCTCATGCTTGTAATCCCAGCACTTTGAGAGGCCAAGGCGGGTGGATCACTTGAGGTCAGGAGTTTGAGACCAGCCTGATCAATATGGTGAAATCCTATCTCTACTAAAAATACAAAAATTAGCGGGGCGTGGTGACAGGCACCTGTAGTCCCAGCTACTCAGGAGGCTGAGGCAGGAGGATCACTTGAACCTGGAAGGCAGAGGTTGCAGTGAGCCAAGATCGTGCCATTGCACTCCAGCCTGAGCAACAGGAGCAAACTTCGTCTCAAAAAAAAAAAAGAGAGAGAGAGAATAAAATTTCCATGATTCGAAACACATGAAATATATGAGTTTATAAGGATCCCCCCCACAAAAAAAAAAAAAACCTGACACATTTTGTCACCATTTGAGAATGCTAGGGAACCAAGTCATTATTTTATTCGAAAGCTGATAAAAGGGAACCAGCATTTATCCTGCTTTTCTGTATGAACTACAACTGGGTAACCAAAGAGTAAATGAGGGGAATTTTCTCTTTACGGAAACATTCCAGATAATACACAAAGCAGGAATGCTCAACTTAGAATATCACCATATTGCAACCAGTAATGTATTAACAGATCTAGGCATTGAACATCAAAGGCTGCTGACATCATAAAAACAGAAGCAGCCTGCTATTCTGTGCCTTCAGATGAAAGAACACATCACTAATGCATGAAGTATTATTGCCCCAAAATCTAACCTGAACTTGGTCAAGTCCTCATACTAACGTTTTCTACAAACTCTTTATGATTCATATCAGCCGGTTATTTTGCCAAAGAATGTGATTTCCTCTCTGATCTGAGTATTTATTTGACTTATTTGGCATTCTTCAATCATTGTTTCCTCTGTTAGCTTCTATTTCTGTAGTTTCTTTCTGATTTAGTTGTTTCTCTTCCGTTATATTGAAGCTTCTTGTTTCAGATTAATATTTGAGGATCTAGAGTGAACAGTGAACTTCTTCCCTCCAAGAGCCATCCCTGTTTGCCTCTTTGTAAAAGTGGGTTATGATTATGGAAACCTGCCTCATTCGATTTTAAGGCAGGAGTGACATCTGGGGTCACTTCTGATGCTCTCTTCAGCCGCAGGACTCACGCCATGCACTTTCCCCTAGCAGAACATCCACTTTATTTACACAAAAATACTTAGAACTTTAATGTGAGAATGGACATTGCCACCACCAGCCCCTTGGTGGGCACTAGCCCAGTGGTCCTGGAAATAATTCTATAATCAAGTATCCAGAGGACCATCCCAGGGCTCACTCCTCTACTTTATATTTAGTGGCTCTGAACTTAGAATTTTTTTGAGGCCTTCTATAGAAAGATGCACCTGTGCAGTTGTGTTCTCTTGCATATCTTTTGGACTATGCATTCCTCTGCTTATACTTCTCCACCAGTCCTGTTCTGTAGTCTCTCTGTCTTCCAGGAGTTCTCCAAATTATGTGGTTCTCCAAATAGTGTGGTTCAGGGCAATCTTTCTGTTTTTTTAATTGGAATTTTGTTTTTGTTTTTGGGGGTAAGGGTGTTGGAAGTTTTGGTGTGTGTGTGTGTGTGTGTGTGTTTGTTTTTGAGACACAGTCTCACTCTGTTGGCCAGGCTGCAGTGCAGTAGTCCAGTCACACCTCACTGTAGCTTCAAACTCCCAGCTCAAGTGATCCTCCCACTCCCACCTCAAAAGTAGCTGGCACCGCAGGCCTATGCCACCACACCCATCTAGTTTTTTTGTAATTTTTGTAGAGACACGTTTTGCCATGTTGCCCAGGCTGGTCTTGAATGCCTGGGCTCAAGCGATCCTCCACCTTGGTCTCCCAAAGTGCTGAGATTCACACCTGAGGTTGAAATTATAGGCATGAGCTTAGTGAAATTTGGGGTAGGAGGAATTTGGGGTGGGGCATAGCTGCAAATATTAGTTTGTCATTTTTATCCATTTCCCCCACAATTGTTTTCAACAGCAGTGATTTTAAAAAGAACTCTCAACTTGTGACCAGATATTAACTCCTAATACGGTCTGTAGTCAGTCCTGGGGGAGATAAAATGTAAAATAACCACAGGAATATATAAAAGTTGGCATATGGAAAGACCTAAGAGAATATCATAGCCTTACCCATAGCAAATGCTTTTCTAATTTCTCTAAGTTGACAAAGGTCCTTTTTCTCCCCAATCCTAGAACTGCTGACCATAGGGATTTCTTCAGTGCAGCGTCCCCAAGGAAGCTACCTCTTGGACACCCTGCAATCTCTCTTCTTTGCTTCCTCCTTGTCTGAGCAGAAATACTTCACTGTTCTGGTACACCTGGCAGATCCTGATCCCAACTGGCTTGATCAAATGATCTCCAATATCTCAACCCTCTTTCAACCATACATCCAGGCCAGACAGCTACTGGTGATCAACACTCCTCTTAAAAGCTATCTTCCCTTAAAGAACCTTAAGAAAAACTTTAATGACACTCCCACCCATGTGACCTTTCGCTCCAAGCAAAATATGGATTATGCCTTCCTGATGAACTTTGCTACCAACTACTCTGACTATTTCCTGATGATCGAAGATGATGTGAAATGTGCTCCTGGATTTGTCTCCCAGATTGCTACTATACTGTCTGCCTGGGAAAGGAAAGCTTGGGTGACTCTGGAGTTCTCTAGGCTGGGCTTCATTGGAAAACTCTTTCATGCCAGAGATCTCCCCCGCTTTGTTCGTTTCCTTCTCCTCTTCTACCAAGAAATGCCCTGTGACTACCTTCTCTCTCATTTCCGTGACCTTCTCATGCAGAAAAAACCAATCCAATTCTTCCCCTCCCTCTTCCAGCACATGGGCAATTACTCCTCCTTTGAAGGTCAATTGAACAGCCTCACAGATAAAGAGTTTGAGGAAAATAACATTGGCCCTCCTGGCAACCCTGCTGCCACCATTCACACTAGTCTGAATGTTACCAATGCCTCTGTTCTTATGAATGCCTATAGTCTGGATAAGAATTTCTTTTATATCAAGGAGGCTAAGGCTGGCAGCCACCTGACTGTGGTTTTGGACATACCTGCTACAGTGTTCCGAGTTCAGGTGCTGACTGGCTCTGAATTGAAAGAGGAGAATCAGGTGAAAGAGGGACAGGTAGAACTGGGCTATGACTCTACCAATCGGATTAATGACTGTGATGACTACATTCTGCTGGGGCTACTGGTGAATGGCATCCTGGATAAGCAGGTGTTATCTGAAGAGTCTGGGAAGAAGATGAAATGTGTGAGACTGCTTGTAACAGCTGCTCTGCCCTCGGGATTAATAGTCAGGCACATCAACCTCTGGATTAAGTAACGTTTAAGTAATATGTGGAGATTCCAGTAGGACTTCTGGGAGCGCTCAGGTTGGAGGGAGAGTCTACAGAAGTAACAAAACATTAAAGTCTGGAAATTGGTCAGGTATATCTCTTTACTAGGTCCTTTCAGGATTCTAAGTACAGAAGACACAGCATGTTGAAAGGCCAAGAGCAGGTAACATCCTTTCGGTCACCTTCATGGGTGATCCTAGAGTCATGGGTGGGTAGAAGGGGTTTCTTAAGACGTTCTCTGGTTTTCTTTTCTTTTATTTCTTTCTCCCTCTCTTTTTTTAATCTCAAAGTCTCACTCTGTCGCCCAGGCTGGAGTGCAGTAGTGTGATCATAGTTCACTGCAGTCTCCAACTCCAGGCCCAAGCAATTCTCTCACCTCTTCCTCCCAAGTAGCTGGGACCACAGATGCATGCCACTAGGCCCAGCTAATCTTTTATTTTTTGTAGACATGGGGTCTCACTATATTGCCCAAACTGGTCTCACACTCCTTGGCTCAAGTAATCCTCCCACTTTAGCCTCTCAAAGTGCTGGGATTACTGGCATGAGCCACTATGCCCAGCTCCTTCTCCAGTGTTCTGTCTATAAAGGTCTACCATCCAAAGTTCTTTCCTTGGATCAGTAATGCCAGACCTCTACAAAGAATAGGAACATGTGAGTAAGACTAACTGATGCTCACGTCAGAAGACTGTAACGGTGCATGAGAGAAAACAAAAGTCCTTCCACCAGCCAGGAAATGGATTCGTTAAAGACAACTTCCTATGTGACAGGAAAAAGTCAATCAGCTAAGAATATGACTCTTTTCTCTGTGATCTCATTTTTCCATTATAAGGTATTCGTTCATTCTATAAACATTTATTTGAGTACCTTTTATGTTTAGGCACAGTTCCTTTCTACATAATCAGCCAAAATGCCAGAGCATTCCTTTGTAAACACCATTAAAATTACTAAAAATAATGTGTTGTGATTTCTGCTAGCTTCTCTAGTCATATCTATGGGATTACAGGTAACTTGGGTATTTCTGTTAGGAAACACTTTGGATATTTTACTAACATCTTTATTCCAATTTGGCTGTGAAATCTTTATTTCCAGAAAAATCTGGTCCCTGAGCTCAACTCATGTGCAGGGCCGGCAGAGGGGTTTTCACTACCTTGAAAACTATAATCCATGAAGGCAAGGAGAAAAGAAAAGGAAAGGAACACTTTAAGAGGAATACTTGGAGCTGGGCTTGGTGGCTCCTGCCTATAATCCTAGCACTTTGGCAAGTCAAGGCAGGAGGATTGCTTGAAGCCAGGGGTTCGAGATCAGTCTGGGCAACAAAGCGAGACCTCATCTCTCTCCAAAAAAACAAATCCAGGTGTAGTGGTGCACCCCTGTAGTCCCAGCTACTACGGAGGCTGAGGAAGGAGGATTGCTTGAGCCTTGGAGGTCAAGGCTGCAATGAGCTATGATTGTATCACTGCATCCCAATCTGAGTGACAGAACAAGACCCTCTCTCAAAAAAATAAAATAAAATAAAAAGAGGAATACTTGGGAAGAACTCAAATAAAAAGCCAGACAGAGTGTCCTAATAAGTTATAATCAAAGTGGTTAGAAAGAACTAGAAAATTCGGAAACAGAATAATGGCATGGGAGCAAGAATAGGAGGTTGAGGTTTGGGGACATCAGATGCAGGGGAATGGGGCAAGCATATATGGCAGCCATGAGAGTGTAGGGATCAAATCTCCACTGTGGCCAGCATGATTGGTCCCACCACTCCCCTTTGGACCTACCACAGTGTGGTGCCAAGGCTTCACTTCCCACGGGCTGTGACTAACCACAGCAGAATGGTACAAAGCCAGCCCCTTTCGGCGAGATGAGAGACACCTCTGAGAGGTGATTTTAGCCTGAGGGCTCCCCATAAACCTGTTCCAAACTTCCTTGGACCACACTGCAGTCCTGGTCTTCCCCTAGCCAATCCTTCTTTCTCTGTCACCTTCCACAGTTGTCATACCTTCCCTACAGGCTGAATTTTCTCCCCGCCTTTTCCTTCTCCCTTCACTAATAAATCTCTCTGGTGTCTAACCCCCATTTTTGTGTCAGCTGCTTGGCAAGTGTGAACTAACAAAAATTTTGGTAAATTTCTGTGATCTAAGAAAAACAGATAGCAAGATGAGGACTTGGGACTGGCTTATTCATGACTTTCAGAGAGTTGTAGTAGTAGAGGTTAAAATAGGCTAATAGAGCATGGTATCACTGTGGAAAAAAATATGCAGATGGCCAGGCTTGGTGGCTCACGCCTGTAATCCCAGAACTTTGGGAGGCCGAGGCAGACGGATCACAAGGTCAGGAGTTCAAGACCAGCCTGGCCAACATAGTGAAACCTTGTCTCTACTGAAAATACAAAAAAATTAGCCGGGCATGGTGGCGTGTGCCTGTTATCTCCGCTACTTGGGAGGCTCAGGTGGGAGAATCACTTGAATCTGGGAAGCAGAGGTTGCAGTGAGCCGAGATCGCGCCACTGCACTCCAGCCTGGGCGACAGAGTGAGACTCCATCTCAAAAAAGAAATCAATCTATCTATCTATCTATCTATCTATCTATCTATCTATAGAAAAGGCCAGGCATGGTGACTCAAGCCTGTAATCCCAGCACTTTGGGAGGCCAAGGCAGGTTGATCACCTGAGGTCGGGAGTTCGAGACCAGCTTGACCAATATGGTGAAACCCTGTTTTCTACTAAAAAAAAACACACACACAAAAAAATTAGCCATGCCTGGTGGCATGTGCTTGTAGTCCCAGCAACTCGGGAGGCTGAGACAGGAGAATTGTTTGAACCTGGGAGGAGAAGGTTGCAATGAGCTGAGATCATGCCACTGCACTCCAGCCTGGGTGACAGAGTGGGACTCTGTCTCAAAAAAAAAAAAAATATGTATACTATATGCAGTCACTAAGGATGCTACTTAGCATCTGCAACCAAAACAAAGCAAGAATGAAAGAGCAGGAGTCTGAGGGCATTCATCCCTATAAGGAGTCACAATCCTTGCTTAGTTCCTGAACTTGAGTCAATTTTCAGATTCATACTGATTGATAGAGGAGATGGTCAGATCCTTAGAAGGAAAGAAACTGGAACACTGAAACACACATATCCTGTAACAATTCCTCCAATCTTTACCCAAAGGTACCTACAGCCATCTATGTAGGTTTATGCAACTCTGGAATACTCAGACATTTTCACAACTATTGAACACAAGGTCTGAGTTGATGTTGATGCCCAGAGATTCAAAGCTTAAGGCTTAAGGGGGCCAGATTATAAATGGAGTCTTTGCCAAAGTCAATGCTTACCATGAGACCACTGGGTCCATAGACCCATACAGTGGTCATTTTCCCAGACTTTAAGCAGGAGATGATATATTTGTCTCAAGTATAAGCTAACGCATATTGGGGCACCATATTGGAACCTTGGCCTATGGAATAAGAGCAATCATAGTGGGGAAGACCAAGCCTCTGAAACTGCCCCCATCCTTGGCCAAGAGAGTAAATCAAAAAGTATTATGTCCTAGGTTAAGGGATGATGGCAGAGATTAGAGCCATCATTGAAGAACCTAAAAGATACAGAGCTAGTGCTCCTTAGTGTATGTCTGTTTCATTCATTAGTCTGGCCCCTGCAGCAACCACATGGATCCTGAAAAATGACCATAGACAAACTCATCTAATTAAGTAGCCGTGATCACAGCTGCTGTGCCAAACATGGTATCATTACTTAAACATATTAATAGGCCCTTCGTTTATGTGACACAGTCATTGATGTGGCAAATGTGTTCTTGTCTATTCTGATTATAAAAGGTCAGAAACATTTCATATTCATAAGAAACGACAATATTCATTCATATTTTTGCCCAAGAACTATGTAAACTCTCTGGGCCTCTGTCACAATAGAGTCCAAAGAGATTTAGGCTGCATAGGCATCCCACAGAGCATCATATCAATCCATCACATCGATGACATCATGCTTAGATTTAGGCTGCCTAGATATCCCACAGAACATCACATCAATTCATCACATTGATGATATCATGCTTAGATTTAGGCTGCCTAGATATCCCACAGAACACCATATTAATTCATCACATCGATGACATCATGCTTATTAGGCAGGACAAGCAAGCAGTGACTTAGATGCTGGAGGCCTTGGTAATAGGGTGGGAAATAAACCCTACAAAGATATAGATACTTGCCCCATTTGACTAAAGTTTTGCTTTGTTTTGTTTTTTGTTTTTTGTTTTTGGAGACAGAGTTTTGCTCTTGTTGCCCAGGCTGGAGTGCAATGGCACAATCTTGGCTCACTGCAACCTCCACCTCCCAGGTTCAAGCGATTCTCCTGCCTTAGCCTTCCCGACTAGCTGGGATTACAGGTGCCTGCCATCACGCCCAGCTAATTTTGTATTTTTAGTAGAGACAGGGCTTCACCAGGTTGGTCAGGATGGTCTCGAACTCCCAACCTCAGGTGATCTGCCCACCTCGGCCTCCCAAAGTGCTGGGATTACAGGCAAGAGCCACCACGCCCAGCCGACTGAAGTTTTTAGGGCTCCAAAGGTTAGGGGAATGTCAGGATAATCTCTCCAAAGTAAAGGACAAATTGCTGCATCTTGCCTCCTCTACCATGAAAAAGAAAGCACAGCGCATTGTAGGCTTCCCTGGGTTCTGGAGACAATACTTTCCATGCCTGGGAATACTCTTCCAGTTCCTTTACTAGGCAACACTGAAAGCTGCTAGCATAGAGTAGGTCCTGGAGCAAGAAAGGGCTTTACAGCAGATCCAGACTACAAGGAAAAGAGTCTTGCAACTTGGGTCATGTGATCCAGCACACTTGGTGGTGTCAGACAGTGACGAGGAAAGATACAGAGTAGCGTTTGTGACAAGCCCCAGTGGGGAATCACAAGGGATTCTGGAGTAAGGCCATACTATCTGCATCAGAGAATTATAGGCTTTCTGAGAAACATCTCTTGGCATGCAGTTGAGCCCTGGTGGATACAAAATGCTTCAGCATGGGCACCTGGTTAATGTGTCTAAAACTTCCCATTATGAGCTGAACTATATCATAAGCTCAGAAGTCATAGGGTTGTACAGGCCCAACAGCAGTCCATCAAAAGACGAAAATGGCACATCTGGGATCAAGCCTGAGCGGGGCAGGATATAAGTAAGCTTCAAAAGCAGGTAGTTTAGACTTCCATGTCAACCAGCACAGTAGCACCATACC